AACACAAATGGCTGCTCAGCGGCACTTATATTCAAATGGCGAACGATATTAATCTTTTCCAATTGGCGCATGCTTTACAACAAAGCACTGTTAAACTGCTTGAATGTTAAACCAACAAACACGTTGTAAAGTTCACATTGACAAGTGCAATCGGATCTTTGTTATGTTGACCCGATTTTATCATATTTGTGAATGTGCCCTGCCCCAGCTTTCATTGATTACCACGGCAAATGTCTATTCATTGCAATCCTGTATTACTTTGCCAGCAAATGCATGGACTCGTTTATTAGCAGTCTTATTTTAGAATGGCCTTTGTCTATGGTAGACTTGGTCTGGCTGAAAGAGTGCCATTCGGTGACCGCATGCTGGGTAAACCGCAATTGTCCGCTTGTTCAAGGCGGACCGCAGGTAGCTGCTCTGATCCGGATGTTCAATTTTCGCACTCTCGGCACTAGACACCTCTTTCGAGTTGATGGGCATGTTCTTCTTGAATAAAATATTGCCTAATGTTCTGCCAGTCTTGTAATGGACACGAAACTCCATATCTTTAAGGTACCTCCTGATACACTGAGAAATTTGGGGTATGATCGGTAAAATTGCTATCGATCCACATGGATGGGCCATCGTTAAGTTCGAGCTCGGGTACAAGGATCACTGTTGGTTGTTCATCATGAATGCTCCTTCTGTAACCATTCGTTAGATACGTTTCGTACAGATGCTGAATCTTGTGCCTAGGCCAGAAGTGATGGTGCAGATTTCTTAGGCTCGTAAACGCATATTCTTTACGATGTTACTAAACAAATCACAAGAAACACATGGATGGAGGTATAAGTTGGAGTGAGTTGGTTTCCGATGGACGGGAACCTCATATTCAAGCGACGTTTTCCTCTTCACTGGCACACACAAAAGATATGGAGTGATTCACCTCCGGTTTAGTGGTAAAAGTATTCGGTCTTTGACATCTCGTCCATTCACGTTATACGCGAAGCTTTGCAGCATTTTCTGTTTGTCCATGTTTCGTTGGATTAATGTAAAATTTTCATCGACGAATCGAACATAGAACAGTGGCTGGAATTCTAGTGGATATATACTAAGTGCTTTTATCTCTAGGTGATTTATGTAAAGATCCGCTAAAAAAACACTTTGCTGGGTAGCCCATCGGAACACCAGTTTTACCATTCATACCCCAGGTATCTCAACTTATCAGGATGTACCTTCGAGACGTGGGTTTTGTGTCCACTACATGACTGGCAGGACACTGAGCAATAATTTATTCCAGAAGTACATGACCGTTAATCCGGAAGAGGTATTAAATGTTGAATATACTGTCTAGTGCGCAGACTGTGATAAGGTGTACATTGGAAAGACCTACCAAAGTTGACCATCCGGATCAAAGAGCACCTATCTGCAGTCAACCTTGGACAAGCAAAATATTCCGGTATGGCCGAGCATGCCATCTCCTAAAAGGACTCTTTCAGTCAGACCAGCTTGACTGTCATAGACAAAGACCATTCTAAAATGGACCTGCTAATAAAGCGGTTCTTGCATATGTTGGCAACGAAAAACTGGATGTGCAACAAAGATACATCTTCGGTAGTTATTAGTGAAAGCTCTGGCACAATCACGAATTTGATGTGCAAAATATGTCAACAGGGATCCGATTGCATTTTTGAATGTGAACTTTACATTGTGTTTGTTGGTTTAACATTCAAGCAGTTTAACAGCGCCTTGTTGTAAAGTATGCGCCAATTGGACAAGAATATCGTTCGCTTGTTGGATATAAGTGCCTTCAAGCAACCACTTGTGTTCAGCCCAGGCGAGATGATGCTACCGTCTGGGCAATGAAGCGCGTTGGCAGTAACGGTTCTACCATCTACGGAGTAGGCTAGACTGCAGATGTTTAACTGTTAAAAATGATGTCAGATTATTATTTAATAAGTTCAGAATTTTTGGATATGAAAAGTGAACCTTGTGTGGATGTGCACCCTTCACTTAATGCACCACAGTTGTAGACAGCACTTGGCTCAACCGCTCACCTTCACAAATTTGTGGCCAAGTTAGGTCTTTGATCGTTGAAGACGTGCAGACTTGAAGTTGATGCGGAGGAGGGCATCTTCCTGCACATTAAATAAGTAAACACTGAGGGTTAATGTCCTCTCTAACCGAAGGGATAAAATTTTCTCGACGGAGTATCGCTTCATGCGACTTCGCTGCGTCTTGACCCGCTTTCATTAATGGTCAGTACTTTGTTCAG